AGTGTGAAATTGCAAGTAGAGATTGTGACTGCTTCTCATATTTGAAACCCAATGCCTTCGAATCATCAGCACACCAAACAAATATCCCATGAAGATTTCCCTCACTTTTCAGCTTACTGCATGCAGTAAAAAATCCATTTTCTGGAGATAATCCACCACTCCCATCACTTATGAAACTTGGCAAAATTTTCCCTCCTTTATAATTTGATCTCTGTGTTTCAAAATAATTCATGAATTGTGATACAGTAGTCCCCTCATCATATGCATAGAACTGGAAATTCACATAATCTATCAAATGTCCATAGCTTTTCCAGAGAGCCATGTAATGGCTTTGAACTTGATCATCGTCGAATGGAGCAATGGATGCGAAAGATATGACACCGTTTTTCTTGAGGGTGGATATGAGCTGTCCGATGCATTGAGTAAAGGTGTCGGGATCTGTTTGAAAGTGCTCGTAGTCGATGTCAATGCCATCTAGATTATATTCCTGGTGTCATGGTAAGATTCCAAGTCCAATAAATATAAAAATAATAACTAACAAATAAGGACTTGTGCTACTCCTCATGGAGCTCATTAATACTTTATGCTGTATCATCATTCAACAAGCAATTCTTTGATTTGTTAAAAGCTCAAATAAGTTGTAGGATAATAAAAGATTGATGTTTTAAAGTAAGCAGAGATGGCAACGGGACGGGGCGGGGTTGCCATCCCATTCCCATCCCCCACCCCGTCGGATAATTTTGGCTCCTTACCCCATCTTATACCCGGTTAAGGCGGGTTCAAGGGTCACCTGCCCCATTTTTATTTTTTATTTTAAACGGGACGGGGATCATGTTTCTTGTACATGACCCACCCCTATCTCGGGGCAAGATTCCTGCCCCTTACCTGTTCCGGTTGGGACGGGAGCCAACGGGTATTGGGTATAAAGAGTTTTTTTGCCATCCCACCCCGTAAACCACCATCTTGGAAGGTATATTATATTAAATGGTAAAATTTCACACGGGTTATATACAGAAATAATAATCAGCACATAAAAGTTTATGTTACTCATTTTATTCAAGAAGCTCGACTTTTAAGACTCAATATATACCTGGATTATGTTTGTAAGAGAAGATACAGCATTGGAAAGCCATGAATTTACAGATGAAGGATTGAAATATGCAGATCCACCTCCCACACTGTCTCCTCCTAAACTCAATGCAACTTTTACATTGGAATTCTTGGACTTAATGGCTGCAACTTGGGAAGGGGTGAGATTATCAGTGTCCCAGAAGATGTTGAATTTTCCATTGGTGGGAGAAGCCGAAGATGAAGTTGTGTAATCGACGGCAAAAGAGAGAATGAAATGGAATTCTACATTTTTGTCTATGGGAAGATCAGAAAACTTGACATTCTTGAATTCTGCTCCTATGTACTCTCGAAACAGGTTGGAGTTTCCAGGAGCAGATGAGACAAAAACTAGGGTTTGCAGAATGAAAATTAGAGCGATGAAAAGCTTGGAGAATTCCATTTGTGGGTAAAGATTATAATTTGACTTACAATTAGGGTTAGTTGGATAGTGTTATATATATACTGATCATCTTCAACCAAAAATGATCGAGACAAAGGTAAATAGTGTGTGCCGTTGCAGGAATTCTGCAATATAGGATGTCAATTTTGTCTGCAATATGTTTTTAATTTGGACCTTTAATCTTTGTTTCTTTAGTTCAATTTATTTTAAATAAAGCGTACGTGCCAGAGCCGGTCCTCCTCTCCCCTCCCCACCTATCACGGGGGCCGGCCCCCTGGCACGTCGTGATCGCAGCTCAACTCATTTATTTTATCAATATTAATCAGATTTGTCTACTTAAATGACATTTTTTTATTCAAAATATTTATAGCTAGGTAAGTCATCTTAGGATTAAATCCATCAATGAACGTACAACTTTATACTTAGTGTTATCACTGTCTTCCATTTTAATTTTATTTCATCATGGTCACCTAACTTCATATTTAGTGTTACCATGACCACCAAATTTGATTTTATTTCACTGTGGCCACTCAATTTCATATACATTTCACCATGATCAACCAATTTTTTTTCATCATTTTTATTAACTTTAAAATTAGTAAAACGATAACTTTACGTTATATATATATATATATAATAAATTTTAAAAAAATTAAAATAAAAAATTATTTTAAAAATAAAATAAAAACTTATTTTTAAAAAATGTTATTTAAAAAATAAATGAAATAAAACTTATTTTTAAAAAAATTACTTAGAAAAATAAAATAAAATAAAAACATATTTTAAAATATAATTTTTTAAAATAAATTTTTTTTTTCAAATTTATTTTATATATATAATACAAAATTATCATTTTACCACTTTTTAAATTACTGAAAATGATGAAAAGAACTTGTGTGGCCTTATTGAAATGTTATATGAAATTGTGTGACCATTGTGAAACATTATATGAAATTAGCTGGTCATGGTAAAATCAAATCAAATTTGGTGGTCATTGTGACACTAAGGATAAAGTTGAGTGATCATGATAAAATAAAATCAAATTGGGTGGCCATGGTGAAATGTAGAATTAAATGACTTATTTTAACTTCACTTATTATTTAATGCAACAATAACGACACCTAGATTGAGGTTGTAATCCCAGTGATGGTAAATAGCATTACTATTTGATCTAAATATGAGAAAAATACAAACATTTGATAATAAATATTAATTATTTTATACGCACGTAAATAGTGAAATGTATACGTAAATATGCGTATTAGAATTATAACTAAATAAAGCATAAATAAGATGAATGACAAATACAATACATAAATTAACCTGAATATTAGTTAATTTAAAATTAATATCAAGAAATATATACGTAATAATGAATGTTAAATTATTTACATTAAATGAACATAATTTAGATTTCAATTAAATAAAATTGGATGCTAATTAGTATATATGGACGTGAATAATAAACTGTATTCTTGAATGTGAAATTCTAAGAGAGATGATACACGTACAGCCTGTGAAATTCATATGCCACTCACATGCACACCGGGGTGGGTTTTTTTTTCTATTTTTTTATTCATGGGTGGGGCCCACCCCCATGTGAGAAGCCTGGTAATGGCCTGTGAAGTTTTCCATGTGCGTGAGGATTAACTCTTTTATATTATTAATTAAACGAATGCGAATGTTAATTAATCGAAAATTAATAACATGGACATAGACGTGAACGTGAATATGAAATTCTAATTAATATTAATTAAATAAATGTAATTGAAAAACGAAAAGTAAGATGGTATTGAAAAAAATGAATTATGGTAGGACTATAATCGTTCAAAAATGATTCTCATTTGATGTGATATTTAATATATTATAAATATATGATTAAAAACTATGAATAATTTAGAATTTATGTGTAAAATATTTTATCGTGTGAATATATAATTAAAAATAAGTATGAAAAAAAAATTGAAAATATTGATTGTTTAACAAATTTGGTATAGGCCAACATTAGACACTGACAAATGACAATAGCACCTAGGAGTCTAGAAGTAGCTGTAAACCATTACTCGCTTTTATAAATTCATTATTATACAAGTGCACTTATTACTATGTTTGTGTTCAATTGCTACATTCATTGGCACATGCACGCATACATGAGATAGTGATGATTGGCTGTTAATTTTGTATTAAAACAATCGAAGCTACTAGATGTATAACACTCCGAAAATTTTAGAATAAAATAATTTATTTTATAAATTTTATTTTATGATTTTTGAAAGTTGAGGGACTAAAATAAAGTAAATTTAAAATTACTATGTTTTAAATGGACCTACGGGTCTTGATGAAATGAAATAGAAAGTGAGATCTCCTTCG